CGAGCGATCCAGCTTCAGCGTCAGCCGCGTTTCGCTTTGATGAAGTCACACGCTTTGATTGAAGCCGCCGGAGCTGCGTTTGAGCGGCGGGAGTTTGGCCTGGAAAACACAGACGCTGATTTAATCAGAAAATGCCAAGTGGAATTAAGAGCCGCTGAATTAATCACAGACTTTAGACATGCAAAGCGCCTTTGGGCCTTATATTGGCTTGACAATGAGAGGCTGCTGAGAGTTTAGCTCTGAGCACACAGACTGGCTGGTGGATTGTGGTCAAGCAGTTTTTATTTGTGACGCTCTTGAGAAACTGTCAGTCGTGTCTAACCTCAAACTAACTCAATGCCTTTATCATTTTCAGCTTTAAGATCAGATTGACCACTATGGGGATAGTTAATCATAAATCTTGAAGTTTGGCAGACTATCATAGTTTTTCGGTTTTATCATAGTGACTAATCATATATATATATATATATTAGTCTTGCCGCGATAGACGGTGCTGACGGTGATACCGGTGTTAAGCCGCAACACCGGTTACGTCACTTGCCCACCGACCCCCACCGTCGTTTAGATTTTTTATAGTAATAAAAATAATTTAGTTCAGTAAAAGAATAGACGCTACAATTAAAAACTGAACGCGGCTGCTCAACACAGCGTGCCGAACGACAGTCGCATCACAGATCAGATTTCATTTCTCCAGAGAGGAGAGCGAGTCGAGCTGACTGACGAGAAGAGTGAGGCGAGACAGACGAGACGATCGCGGATGATTTAGTTTCGAAACGAGATGCAAAAGCGCCTGTTTGGCAATATTTTGGATTTTGAAAAGCCTGTTGATTTTGCCGTTTATCTAATGTGATTTTGGAAGTTTTTTTAAACATTCGTTTCTTATTTAATTGGCTCCACATTGTTTGCTGATTTTTACTTTATTTAAACTGTAATTTTTTTTTTTACTTCAAGGTGTATGACGTGCCTCCAAGCTTTCTTATTCGTTTTGCTAATAAACGTTCTACGTTTCTTATTTATTTGGTTATATATTATATATGTTTACTTAGCCTATTTCCAGTTTTGTATACCTATTTAAACTTTATGTAAGTTATTTGTTATTTTATATTAGGCATAGCCTGCCCTATAGCATGGTGTATTCTTATTCGTTTTGTTAATAAAAGTTCTATGTTTTATATATATATATGCTAAAGTGAGTTTGACGTTGTATTTTGTTGTTGCATTCAAGCTATTGACGCCGAATTGCCGCTATTTGAAAGTGAAAGTAAAATGTGCATAGTACTTTTAAGCTATTTAAAAGCGAGGAAAAGAGGGGAAATTCAAACAAACTAAAAACGAACAATTGCTTTACGCCGAATTGCCGCTATTTGAAAGTGAAAGTAAAATGCGCACGCAGCTTTTACAAGCTATTTAAAAGCGAAGGAAAGCGAGGAAAAGAGGGAACACCCCCGCGGTGATACCGATATTACCGTTGTTGTCACACGTCGATTAACCGGTGGGAAAATTTCCTCACCGTCACAACCCTAATGTATATATATTTTTAGATGTTGTTTTCAAGCGTGTTTATCTGAGATGCATGATTCCACAATAATAGACTAGTGTGGAAGAAACTCAAATAATGTGCAGCAGTTTCAGTGCACAAATGGCTAAAAAAATAATGAAGGAAGGAGACTGTCCCTGAATCATGCACTGAACCACTTCCATTCAATCTTTTGGACAAATTAAGATTTTTTAATGTTTTTGAAAGAAGTCTCTTCTGCTCACCAAGGCTGCATTTATTTGATCAAAAATACAGTAAAAATTGTAAAAATATCATTACAATTTAAAACAGCTGTTTCTATGTGAATACATTTTAAACTGTAATTTATTCCTGTGATCAAAGCTGTATTTTCAGCATCATTACTGCAGTCTTCAGTGCCACATGATCTTCAGAAATCATTCTAATATGCTGATTTGCTGCTCAAGAAACATTTGTACTGCTGAATATTTCTGTGTAAACTGTGATACATTTTATTTTTCAGGATTCTTTGATGTATAGAAAGTTGAAAAGAGCAGCATTTATTTAAAATAGAAATCCTTTGGAACATAACTGTAATCCTTTCCATTTTTCCATTTCAGATTTCCATTTTTTCACTTCAAAATTTCACTTTTAATTCAATATGTTGCTTGCCGTTTCTTTGTAATTATTTGAAATTTACTACAATTTCTGAGTGAAAATTGCTTAAGTTTTCATTTTTTCTCTCTGTGTCATTTTTATTTTTAAATGCTTTATATCTGTTGCTATCTGTTTCATTAATGTTTTTATGTGCATGACATTCATATCACTTTCCCCAGTCTTTCAGATCATAAAGGCAGAATACAAATGTTAAAAGTGATGTCATATTTTGACAAAATGTCATATTTTTCTCCAGTGTGCTATTCTGAAAAAATATATATTTAAAATGTCACATTATATTGATTTCATTCACTCTGATTCATTTGGAAACTTCCCCTTCTTCTGCTTAAGATGCAGCTGAAGGCGCATCTTTAAAAAAAAAGCTCAAGCTTGTGTTTATAATCACATAAAGTGACTCAAATGACATTTCAGACAAATATCACAGCATATCTCAGCCTGTCTGACATATAGCTTGTTTTGCAAGCTGTCAATCAGACGTCTTTATCATTTCTTGTTGTTTTATTGCTCAGATATTGTGCGTTCATAGCTTTCATATCGAATCTTTCTCTTAAACTCTTATAGTAGAAATTAGTTAAGTATTTGTCATCTAGTAAGAGAGCATTAAAATGAATGTTAAGAGCAGCTCAGATCATTGGATGAGAAATGTTTGTTCATATTAAGACTCACTTTGTTTATAGCTTCAGCCAAATCCTCCCATGGTGCACTGCAGTGTGTATGCGATCAGATATCAGATTTGTTGTTCTCTCTAAACCGAATCTGTCCGTCTAACACACTAGTGCTGGAGAGGCTGTTAACTAAAAGTAATAGCCCTACTAACATTTGTCAGTGTGACAGTAGCTTATTTGTGAAAAATGCAGCTTCTCCAGCAACAAGCTGCTTTACTGAAGAGGCTGTGTAGCTTTTGCTGTTTATGTCACGTTGTGTTGCACAGAGCGAGCTGATCAGTAATCAATGCTAAACGGAATGCTAAACGCCTGGAGTGTCAACGAGTTTGCATTTACAGTACAGAGAATAGCTGCTCGCTCGCGCACAAACTCATCTGACATTTCAATGCTGGAGCCGAGCTGGTGCATGACCTTCCCATGCCTGTAAATAAGTCTTACGTCCCTTTTATTTCCGTCTTTCTCTCTCTCTGGCTGTCTCTGGTGCTGTTTGGCTCTTACATGCTGGCGTTTCTCCTCCTCTCTCCGTGTTTCCCTGTGGAGGTGCTGTTGGCAGAGTGTTTGTGAGCTGTAAGCCGAGTGTCGGGATGCTGGTGCCAGTCGAAAGAGATCAGGGAGCGAGTCCTCGCCGCATGCATAATGGATAGAGGGCATGAAATCACTTCACACGTCCTGCTGACTGACACCAAATTCACACCCTCCTGATCTCTCAGCCTCTCGTGACCCTGCTGAGGCCTCCTCATACTCAGGCTCATCACAACTCCTGAACTTACACTAGTTACAGCATCTTTTATACTTTAATTTGGAAAAGAGAATGTATGTATCCAGAAGCCAGAAGTTTCCTGTGTAAGCGGTTAGAGACGGCGTGAAGGATACTGAAAGACAGACCACCCACTGAGAGAGACGTACAGCGAGGGGAAGTTCAGTAAACTGATTGCTATTCTGAGAATGTTGCTGATGGTGTGTCTGACTAGTGCTGGATTACAAAAAACATCCTTATCAGCATCCTGCCACTGCATTAATATTCATATTCTCCTTCATCTCCTTTATAAAGGACACACAGTCCACGTGATAAACCACATTGTGTGTTTCTTTTGTGTACTTTAAAAAAAAATATTAGTTCAATTGTATTTTAGTGTGCATGTGAATGCAGGACAGGTCAGGGTGTGTTTGATTGTCACCACATTTTTAAGGCCCTATTACATTTTTAAAAATCTTTTTCTATTTTAATTTTTCTGGATTCTGTTTTTTTTTTTTAGGGGGGGGGCTTTTAATGGTTAAATAAAATTGTATGAATCAAAAAGCATATAATTTATTGAAATCATGAAATATACAATTTAACAGCAATTTATTACAAGTGTAAATCAATTTTTAGGGCCTATGAATTACATAAAAATTTTTTCAATTCTGTTTTAATTTTTCTGGATTCCATTTTAATGGTTTAATTAAATTTTAATAATCAAAAGCATGTCTAATTACTTAAATTCATATAAACAAATTAATTTATTTAATTTGTTTGCTATAATAGGGCCCTATGATATTTTTATTTATTTATTTTTGTTTTGCTTTTTCCAGAAATTCTGTGTTTTGCATTTTTATTTTTCTGGTAATAAAAAGAAGACATAAAACATTAATTTATTAATATTATTATATATTAATATTAACTAGTGTCCATATCGTCACTTGATTTAAGTGCCCTGACCTTCTTTTGATTTATTGACCCAAAATTTGACAAATTCCATGACATTCCACGTTATACAGTAAGTTCTGTTTTTATTAATGGATTCTGCGATTCTATCCGGATTGTGGAAATCATAGAGTCCTACATTTAGTACATTTTAAATATTGCTTCATGTTAACCAGATCAACTTTAAAGCCAGAATTGACTTTGTTAATACATGTTCTTGGTCTTAAACCCAAGTTATAATCTGTATAGTCCTCTGTTTACCTTCATTATACTATTATATGAACAGGTGGACTACTATAGTATGCATGGCATGGCAGTACGTCCCAATACTGTAGTACTGTCTTTATACACACTCAAAAGTGTTTAATTTCCCATTGTCAGTGAAGTACATAGTATAGCTATGGAAATTGAAACTTTCTGTTATGAATCTCATCGTTTTCCCCTTCTCTTTGTGTCGTCTGTGCTCTCTACACAGGATGGTGTGTGTCGGCGCTGCTGGGCTGCAGGTTCTTGCGGTTCTGCTTGTGTTCTCAGCAGAATATGGTGAGTTCTGGTTCACTCTTTCTCTATTAAAAGCATTTGAAGGAAAACGGGACCTCATGCGTACGGGGCGGTTCACACAGGTCATGTTCCTGCATTCAGTAACAGCTGGAAAGAGCAACATAACATGGTGTCTTAAAAACACATCTGATGTTAGCATGTTGTGAAGCTAATAACTACAATATCAGTGGTTCTCAACCTGTTTGACTCAAAGGCCCTCCTGTTGTCCAACACCATATTCAAGGCTAAATAGGCTACAATTTTACTGGTATTTCTGCTTGTAAAGTTCCAAACCTGTTCCTTATTTCATCTGTTTGAACACAAAAGAAAAAGTTTTTCTTGCTGATGATGATGATGATGACGACAGACAAAATGTAAGAAATCAAGACACTATTTATATCTGAGATTAATATTTTAGTTGACAATGTCTGGACATTTAATGAAAACTTTTGACATTTAGTCATATTTTAGTTATATTTAGTTGCGCTTCATGATAATTGTTAAACTCATAATCACAGTTGTTTTGCTCAAAATTTGAGAATTTCTTTTTACTTTTCAACAAAATTATTGCACTTTGAGGTAAGCACAAATCAAAAGAATGCATTTTATATTTGACCTCATCTGGTTTCCTGTATTATATTTTTCTATAAAAATAAAATAAAAATATATATTTTATCTCCTCTTTTTTGTTGTAGGCTAAAATAAAGTGACAAGGTATAGTTTTTATATTTATATGTAAAACATTTCGGTCTTGTCTTTTGTAAAGAATATTGCGTATTGATATAGCCACAGTTATTGTTAATTGTTATTAACACAATATTGTTATTGCTTTATCTCGTCATCGTCTTGTCTTAGTCATGAAAAAAAGGTCATTGACAAGCATTTTTCATCACGACTGTTAACTAAAACTAAAACCATTGTTACTTGAAATAAAATAAATTTTAATTTTATTTCAGTTAGCAAAAAAGCATTTCTTATTTCTGTTTAGTTTAAAGGAGACATATTATGCCCCTTTTTACAATATGTAATATAAGTCTCTGGTGTCCCCAGAATGTGTCTGTGAAGTTTCAGCTCAAAATACTCCACAGATCATTTATTATATCATTTTGAAAATGCCTATTTTGAGTGGAAGCAGAAACACGCTGTTTTTCGGGCATGTGTCTTTAAATGCAAATGAGCTGCTGCTCCCCGCCCCCTTTTCCAGAATAGAGCTGCGCCTTTACAGCTCATACCTGCTGAAAACATATGTTTTGGTTCTGATTATCATGTTTATCGCTCTGAAATCATGCGT